ACCGAATGGAAAAATATATTTGCAAGCAACACCCCCAATAAGGGCCTAATATCCAAAATATACAAAGAACTCATATGACTCAATAACAACAACAACAACAAAAATGATCCAATCAAAAAATGGTCAGAGGACCTGAACAGACACTTCTCCCTAGAGGACATACAAATGGCCAACAAATATGTGAAAAGATGCTCAACATCGCTAGCTATTAGGGAAATGCAAATCAAAACCACAGTGAGATATCATCTCACACCTGTTAGAATGGCTATAATCAACAGGACAAGTAAAACAAATTTTGGAGAGGATGCAGAGAAAAAGGAACCCTCATACACTGCTGGTGGGACTGCAAATTAGTACAGCCACTTTGGAAAACAGTATGGAGCTTCCTCAAAAAGAAATTGATCTACCATATGATCCAGCAATCTCTCTACTGGGTATTTACTGCAAAGACTTGAAAACCCATATCCAAAAATATATTTGCACACTGATGTTCATAGCAGCATTATTCACAGTGGCCATGACATAGAAACAACCGTATCCTATGACAGATGATTGGTTAAAGGAGCTGTGGTACATATATACAATGGAATGTTACTCAGTCATAAGAAGAAATGAAATACTGCCATTTGCAACAACATGGATGGATCTTGAAATAATCATACTAAGCAAAATAAGCCAGACAGATAAGATTGAAAATCACATAATTATCACTTATATGTGGGATATAAACTTAAAAGCAACAAATGAACAGGACAAACAAACAGAGACTCATGGACATGGACGGTAGACTAGTGGTTGCCAGAGGGGAGGGTAGGAGAGGGGAAAAAAGAAATAAAATGTTAAATAAATAAATAAATAAATAAAAATTTGATTAATCAATCAATCAATCAATCAATCAAAGGTTCTTTAAAAAATTTGAAGAAAGGATCACTTAAATCTCATTAAGAACTAAATAAAAATGTAAAGCTTTTCTTGTTAGGTAGGTTCTATATTTGCTAATTAGTTTAAAGCCAGAGGTAGTTGTGTCTACATTATTTTATGAACACTTTAAATCAGCTTAAATGGCTCTCTTTTATTTGGCAGGTATAGTTTACCCAAATAGAATACTATATGTATAGATCTATGTATTTGTCTATGGAGTCTTAAAAATTAATAAATGAAAATGGTCAGAACGGAAAAGTTTTAGTAAATACTAATGCAACGCAAGTAAAGCTGGTTGTTATTTTTGACAAGAAAACAAAAATTGGAATTAAAATGAGAACATGAAGGGAGATGTTCAATGATTTTTTATAGTGAAAAATTTCAAATGACCTTTATGTCCAAATGGTTTAATAAATTACTGATCATTAATGTCACATAATATTATGCATTTTTGGCTTTCTAGCTGCAACCAAGATGGAGTAAGCCAACTATAGCTTCTCTCTTATATTTATTAGAACTAAAAGCTCTGTAAAGAATACAAAATCAACTACTGGTGGACTCTGAAAAGTAAACAGGAACAGGCAGAATGAGGACTGAACTAAAAACTTGAATAATCACTTGTAGCAGGGTGAGTTACACAGGTTTCTTTTTTCCCCCTTTCTTTTTTCGTGCTTTGTATCTTAGTTTTGACCTCAGGATGGACCAGATCAGAGCTGTCCAGATAGAGTAGACAGCAAAACTCTGAAAGAAATCTCTTATTTCTAGCCAGTGGATTGGGAAAAGAGGCCCCTGACTGCTAGCAAGTGGGGAGTGGATGAGAAATCACTTCAAAAAAAAAAAAAATTCCTTTATCTTTTCCCCTCTTGGCCCTGTCCTGAGAACAGCTGCAGTCACTGCCTGAGGACAGCAGTCACAGTGCAGGCACCTAAAAATCTAAGAGAAAACTCTGGCTGTGGAGCCAGGAAAAGGGCCCTCTGTTATTTAAAGAATGCAGGGAGATTGTTTTTTCCTCTTTTCTCTAACTGCTTCACTCCAAAAGCAGGCTCAAACAGACCTAATGGCAGCTCAGAGGGAAAACCTGGCTAGAAACATGCTTCCTGGCCAAGAGACCAGGAAAAGGGTCTCCTGGCCAGGGCTGGATTAAAAAGGACCCTTGGAGTCTAAAAGTGTTGAGGAAATATCAGAGAGGAAAGGAATTGGAAAATTTGAACACCTACTACTGTATGTGAACTGATACAAGTCCCAAGGTTACCCCTGAACTGTGCATATACAGAAGAGAACCAAGTAGGTGAAGTAGTGGTCTTTAACACCTGGACTACTATACAAACCACTGCCCGAGTTCCAGAGTAACTCAAGTGGCTTATGTCCTGGGCAGATCTGAACATCACAGCAAAGTCTTTGAAAACTAAACTGACATTAGAACCACAAACACAGAAGAGACAGAACTTGTGGTATGAATCTAACTGGGTTGATCGCCTGCTAAAACAAAAAAATTTTCTAGAAGATTTTAAGTCTTCCAACATAATATTCAAAACATTCTGGGTATAATACAAAATTACTCAACATAAAAAGAACCAAGAAAAGCTAATCATTTCTCAAGACGATCAGAAGCAAATCCTGAGATGATCAGATATTAGAACTATCAGACACAGATTTTGAAGCAAGAAGTTCAACAAACTCCATAGAGGATAAACTCAAACACCCAGACATATCACATTGGCACGGAAAACTGCCCACCTTATAATCTTGAATGAAGAACACAGAATATAAAACACAGAATATGTAGAGTGAAATGAACTATGTTCAAAAGATGTAGATGATGTATTTATATTCCATATAAACTGAAAAACTTTAAAATAAAACCAAACTAATCAATCTGTTTATCTTTGGGTGAATGTGTTACAGGTGATTGATACTTTCTCCTTTTTAACTTTGTCATTTCCTAGATTTTCTGCATCAAATGTATTTTACAAAGGTCATGAACACCAAACAATTTTCATTTTTGAAATCCCAAAATGAAAATTAAGGAGTAGAACATTAATAACTTGTTTGCTCAAAGGGATACAAGCATTAAATCCAGAAACATTGATTTTGTTATCGTTTTTCATTGTTATTATTACAATATTAGTTTTTTTTTTCCTCTCCATTATTCTGAACACAATGGCTTTGGAAATAGTTCGCCACCTTTCAAAATGAAGGACAATGCTCTCATTAATTACTATTTATATAATTCCATACCTCAGATGGACTCTTATCCAATTTGGGTATGCCATTCCAGACATTCTCAGGGTTCACTATCTCCTCTATACCATTTGAAAGGTCCAAAACCTACCAAAGAAAAAAATTTTCATAAACATTGGTAGTTTTCAAATATTTAACTGATTTTTGTACTTATAGCAATCACTTTTAAAATGAAATGCTTTAAAAGGCAATGAAAATGATTTTTTATTAAATCTCAATCTTATGTTTCAACTCAATAGTACTTTAGTTCAAAAAACATGTCTTGAGCTTGCCTAGAGATCAAAGATAAATATAATTTAGATCTCAAGAAGTTCAAAATTTAGTGGAAAAACAGACCTCTAAGCAGATAAATACAATACGACGTAGGAAATACAGACTTCTGCAGCCAGAGATATAAATATACAAGTAGGAATACAGCTTTTTTGGGGGGGTTGGGGAGAAGAAATGGAGAGATTTAGAATATAATGCTAAGGAATGTTTCCTGGAAGAAGCAACGACTGAAGAAAAGTCTTTTAAAGATAAGTAGAAATGAACCATTTTGTGAAGGGGACAGAATACAGGCAAACAGAACTACATTATTAAATACATAAAAAAAAAAAAAACAAAAAAAACCCAAGCAAAATAGTATATATAAGAGAAATCAAGCACTTCGATGTTCATCTGATATAAGGCACAAAACACAAAGGAGTAAGACCTAAGGCTAGAGAGGTACACTGACACTTAAATCTTGGAGGACCTTTAAATCTTTAATGAGCTTGACTTTTCTATTCTAGACCAGCAGGCCTCAGATTTTAATGGTATAAGAATGCACAGCCTTGCTCCTATCCCCAGAAATTCTGAATCAGTCAGCCAGGGCATAGCCTAGAAATCTAATATTTAGGTAACACACTAGGTGATTCTGATACAGGTGGTTTCCGGATCACAGGAGAAACACAGTCCACTGAAAGTCCCCAAGAAGTTTTACACACAGGAATGATGTAGTCAGATTTGCATTTAATAAATTTCTCACTGGCAGTGTGGAGAATGAATTGAAGAAAGACTGGAAAAAGTAAACTAAATAGAAGGTTATTAGAGTAATCTGATTGTGAAACAAGGAACTTAACGAAGGCAGTGGCATTAGATATAAAAAATTTTAACTGAGGTAAGAAGTGGAAAGTGTGGAACTTGGTGACTGATAAGATTTCAGTGGTAAGGGAGATGAAAGAGCTTATGATGATTTCTTGCTAGGACGCTTTTAAAACGATACAATGGAATATTACTCGGCTATAAGAAAAGATGAAATAGTGCCATTTGCGACAACATGAATGGATCTAGAGATGATCATGCTAAGTGAAATAAGTCAGACACAAAATGTTGAGAACCATATTGTTTCACTCGTATGTGGGATAAAAAAAACTGAAAGCAACAAATGAACAAGACAAACAGAGACGCATAGACACAGACAACAGTTCAGTGGTTACCAGAGGAAAAAGGGGAGAGAGTGGGGAGGTAGATAAGGGTAAAGAGGGTCAAATATACGGTGATGAAAGGAAATTTAACTTTGGGTGGTGAACACACAATGCAATTAATATACATATGACATATCATTGAATTGTACACTTGAAACCTGTATAATTTTATTAACCAATGTCTCCCTAATAAATTTAATTTAAATAAATAAATGAATGAATGAATAAATGAATGAATGAATAAAACAGTTTTTGCACTGCATCAATACATCAAGGGAAATGAACAGGGAAAACATTTGTTTAATTGCATTTCCTCATCTGATAAAATTTCCTTAACAGTCTGCAAGTCTATTTTGTGATAAAGTACTTCAACTTTACTTACCCTTGTGCCTTCTTCAGCTATTTCCAAAATCTCACATTTAGACCATGTGTTCCTTAGACTTGACCACACAACACATTTGGATCCAACAGTAAATCCTTTCAGAGTATAGGTGTTCTCTTGTTGAGCTGCCAAATTGAATAAGGACTCAATGCACACCTCTTAATGATAGATACACAAACAAAGCATTTTCCTAATCTGCCTTTACTATTTCTATATAATCAGTATCATGCACAGCATGACATGTTCTAAGTCTGTCACCTTTCTTCAATTTTATTTTAAATTCTTCCAGGGTCCCCTCCCCATACAATTCCTCAAAACTTTCCTCAAAAAACACCACCATGTGTGATGTGTTTTTTAAGGATGTGAATCTGCTTGTAACATTAAAAATTACTACTAAAAGCCAGTTATTATCGCTACATGTGGTGTGGTGTATGGTCACAACAACTATTTCTATAGTGAAGCAGCAGCATATTGCAAGTGAGCAGACACTCTTATCACAAAGCTATTACTTATCGTTGAAATATATAAGGACTAAAAATCTAGCATAATATTTAAATAAATTATCATGTATCCACAGAATGGCATACTATGGAATCAAAATATTTTGAAAACATACTTAAGGGATTAAAATGCAGCATTGAACACTATAAGACGGTATAATCTCTATTTAGTTTTTTAAACTGTATGTAAATACACACACACAGAGGGTGAAAGACAGCAGAAAGGGAGTCCACCACGGCATTGACCGTGCTCATTTCTTGGTGGTAGGATTATGGTGATTTTCATTCTCCTTAGTCTAATGTTTCCTCTATTTCGTACAATGACTCAAATTTAATAATATAAAAATCGACATTTAAAAAGTCTAACATTGATTATAAAAAACCTAAAAGTTAGCTATTTTTATGTAACTTTTAAATCTTATTAAGTAGCCAAAAAAAAAAATAGCAGTAAAAATAATTTATAGAAAAGTTAATGACAATAAAAGTTCTCCAGTATTTACTCATGGCTGTTAACTGTTTTAGTTAACCTATTTTTTGTTTAAAGGATTCTAAATGAATGGCAGGGTATATGCATGAAACAAAACAGTTAAATTTGAAAACTGCTAAAATGATCCCTACTGTAAATTCATGCATACAGTAGTGCTTGGCAAAGGAATACTTGTTTTATTTTGTTTTGTTTTATAAAAAAAACCAAAAAACAAAAAACAAAAAAAAAAACATAGCCTCTTGATTTTAAAGATACTCTGTTAACATTTTAACGTGATTAAGACAAATTTTAAGCATTCTATTTTAAACACAAAACAATTCAGCATTTTACGCAGCATATAAAGTAGTATTTTACATTGATTCCACAAGTTAAGGTCCCTATATTCTCAATATCATCCAAATCTAATTCTCTTTTCAGGTTTTAATCTTTTCTGCAAAAAAAAAAAAAACATTAATTAAAAAAAATTCAAGTAAGAATTATTCTTTTCTTTAAGACAAATAAGTAATCTTGAAAGACACTAAGTAAACTTTAAATGAAAGTGAAAGAAAAAAAATACAAATACCTGAGACATAAGCTGGTAGAGCATTGCTGTGTTTCCTTCCATCTCTGGATTCATCTTCAGGGAACAAAGAAGTCAACGATGAAATGGCATCTCTGTTTTTATATTCTGTGAATTCTTCTTTATATATATTCATTTCAATCTGCATTTTGGGATCACAATCCTGTCCATGTAGATGCAATGGCAATCTATGCTGGTCATCAAAACATTCCACACAACTGGACTTTCTTGTGTCCTCAGCAAACATGGATTCTTGGGCTTTCTGGCTAACTCTTAAAGACAAAGATTTTATTTTGTCATCTAGACACACCTGGGCTGTAGGTAATTCTAGTTCTGGCTGTTTCTCAGCTTCACAGGTGAGGGGAAGTTGCACTGTAAATGGCTGTAAGGTGGCTTCTGTGTCACAGCTTTGGGGGAGAGACACCATCGGAGACTCGAGGACTGGCTCTTCATTTTCTTCATCCCCAACTAGAGAATGCTGTAGCTCAATGGATTCTATTTCCAAGAATTCTTTTGATTCATCAGGAGAAAGTGCCACCTCAAGTGAATTAAGTTCTAATATCTCTTTTGTTTCACAAGCTTGTGGTAATAATGTATTAAACCCTGTAATTTGGTATTTGTTATCAAACTTCGCTTTGTCAACCAAATGGCACTCTACTTTACCTTCCAGTACCTCAGGGCCAATTTTATCTTTGTGTGGGTTTTCAAAAGCTTCAAAAATGTTATCAATTTCAGAGTTGTAGAATTTATTTGGTTTGGTTTCAATAATATTTAAGTCTTTTTCAATTCTTTCGGAGAGCTCATCTGTCTGTGCTTCCACATATAGTCTTTTCTCTTGTCCAGTTTTACTACTTGGTTTCTTAAGTCCAACATCAGAACTAGGAGACCCAAGAGCCCCCTTTATCTCTGGGCCATTTTTTTCATAGGGCAGATCACTGTTCTTAATATCAATCTTAGAATATTTCTTCATTTTCTCGTTAATACTTTTGCCTTTGCTTTTCAAGTCAACAACTGCTAAAGGGATATCACAAACATCCTTTTTGATTTCTAATATTGTTATCTCCAACACATCTTCTGTTACTATTTCATAAAAATAGTCATTTCCCTCTTGAGGGCACACACCCTCTGAAATATTAAATCCTGAGAGGCAGCACGGAAAGGCTTGCATGGGAACCATCAGAAGTTCAGAGGGAATGTTGCAGAGTGCTTTTGGGTCCACACAGTCTTCAACGTTTCCGAAGTCCACAAGCCTGACGGATACAAGATAATCTTCACAAATACTGGTGATAAGTGCCCTATAATAATGCCCATCTTCTCTGTATCTCACAATGCAAGGGTCTCCAATACGAGGACAACTTCTCCAATCTGTTACCTGTTCTCCAGCAGTCTGTACTTCTACTTCTAAGTACTGAAGTTGCTCAGTATCGGCAAACTGACACCAAAAATATTCAGGCCCATCTATCACGGTGGCATAAGCTCTTATCAGTTTCATCTTTGGATTATACCAGTTAAGGAATACTGAAGTGTCGATGTCTGTCTTGCTGACAGACTTTGAAAAGGTACCTTTAATTATTTGGGTAGAAAGTCCTATTTCAGATTTTTCACTGACAGCAAATCTGCTAATCATATCTTCTGCTATGATACCATGGTCATCAGCAAGAATAACTTCCCATTTGTCTTGAAATTTAACAAATTCACATTTTATTTGAGCCTCATCTGTCCTTCGGGAAAAATAATGCATCATTTCTTTACAGTTTAAAATCTCAGGAACCCAAAGTCCCTTTAAGGAGCAGTGAATACACAATCTTGGTAACACTGCATTAATAAGGTCAAGTTTACCTACTTTGTTAGTATGAACCACAGAAACGTTGCCATAATCTATAAATTGTACAGAGAGGAGGTCATTTGGTTGTTGTTCCTTGACCACAGCACGATACCATAAATTATCTTCTGGAAAAGTCGCACATATTATATCTCCTTTTTGCAAACGTGGACCTGCAAAACATTCAGGCCTTCTACTAACATTATTTAATTTCTCTGAAAGATGATTAAGTTCGGCTTCATCTTCTGCTAGTTGAACATAAAAGTCTGAAAGGTCATTTATATGAGAAACATATACAATTGTCTTAAAGCCAGGCATTATAGTCTTCTGAGGGAACTCAGAAAATTTTAGAGGCAAATCTTTGTTACATGAATCTCCTGTTTTCCTTTCTGAAAGAGTGGGTTCTAGTTTTGTAGCTTTCAAAGGTGGTGGGTCAGCAAAACTTTCTTCTTTTTTTGTTGTTGTTAATGAAGACACTTGATTGTTTTTATTTCCCGTAGATTCCTGATGTTGAGTGACAAAGTTTGTCTTTGTTGAACTCTGCAAAAGTTTGAGCTCTTTACATGCTGAACTGATCTTAGGTTTGTATGACTCTCCTAAGATCTCCATATTGCATAATTTGTTCTCTACTGATTTACTTAAATACTCCTTAGGTGACAAGTTTATATTTTCCTTTTTTACTTCAAGAGTTTCTACTCTAGAGAGTACTTCACTTACTTTTTTTCTTGCCCCACCTTTGTAACCAAGTAGCCCTAGTTTCTCATTAATGTTAGCATTAATTTGAATACTGTCATCATATAGTTCTATAATCAGTCTCCCATCTGGATCTTTTGCTACAACCAAAGCCTTCAATGACTTATCTAAAACCGTCTCCTGAAACCATGTTGTAATTTCTTCTGGTATACGATCAGGAACATCAGATAATGAACATTTAACAGCTTGCATGGGCAAAAGTAAGACATCATATGCATCACTAGGTATTGGAAGCAGATCATCATTTGTTACCACATAAATGTTCCCAAAATCAACAAAGAAGACTTTATTTGGTTCTTTTTCTATAATTATCCCCCTATACCAATTTCCATCAGTATACTTGGCAAGGCACAAAGTTCCACGGATCAAAGGAGACGTTTTTAAATTTGGCAAAACTTTACTTAGTTGTGTAATATTACATGACAACTGTTCTAATATATTTGCATTTCTTCCCAACTGGCAATAAAATGTCCAAGGGTCATCAACATGTGTTATATATACTGACTCTTCACTTCCAATTTTCATATCATGAGTAGAATAGTAGTAAGAATGTAGCTGAACAGAGGACTCCAGAGGCTTCTGAAGTTTAACTGGTCTCGCAAGTCCCTTTTCTACCAAAAAATGGCATGCGCTCTGAAAGGGCGTTAGCAAATCCACGACATTAAACAGTTCTTCATCATGTATTGATGCCAAAGCAAATATTGTGCATTTTAATTCTAGATTGTCTTCCCATGCATTATCTACAAATTCACTGAAAGCCTGTATCGCCTTTTCATCCCAAACGAAAGGATTTTGACCAGTTGGTTGAATTAAATTATAAAGACTGCACCTAAAAGCCTGCGCCTTAACTTTGAGAAACTCTTCCCTAATTGAATAAATATTCTTCATAGATACCATATCTTCATCTCCATAATCCACAAATACTACTTTGACATGCTCTGGTGATTGCGCCCCACTGATTAGAGCTCTGGCCCATTTTCCATTTACTGTTCGTAGTGCCAAACAAGCAGGGGTAGTAGCTCCTTGGTAAGGAGTAGGGGCATCATTGCAATAGTCCTGAATATCACACATTAGGGTTTTAAATCCTTGCATGTTCCTGGTCAGCTGGCACCAGAAATAGCCAGGATTTTCAACATATGACACTTTGACTTCTACTGTACTTCCAACTTCTACTTCTCCTTTACAAGAAGAGCCTGGTTTAATTTCCAAAAAATTCTGTATAAGAGGAGGATAAACAGACACTCTTTTCTCATTTTTCTGTATAACTAATCCAGCTGAAACATTTGCAACAACTGTTGTGTCAGTCAAAGCTTCTGAAACAGATGCTTTATTCTCTCTCTTGGCTTCCTGTTCTACTTCTACCTTCTTGGCAGAAGATATTTTGTTATTCCCTGCAGTAAAATGGTTTGAAACATGCCCTGGGGAGTGGGCACATCCAGAAATATTTTCCCTTGTTTCAAATTCCTGATACTTGGCATATCCAGCTTGAGCAATTACCTTACTAATGTTTTCTTCCCCTGTTCTTGATTCATCAAGAATCTCAATAACATATTGATTATCCTGCTTATCAAGGACATGGATAACTAATTCTTTGTGGAGCACAGTCTTTTTAAAAAACGAAATTGCCTCCTGGCTCCAAGTTTCTGCCAAAGGCCAAATATCGGCCAGAGTACACCTCAGAGCCAATATCGGTAGCCGTCTAAACTGAGGAAGCAGCATCCTTACGTCATACCAGTCCACATTTTCTGAATTACCTCGATCAACTAAGAATACATCCACACTCTTGTCATCTAATCTGGTGACCATAGCCCGATAATAGCCATTTTCTTTCCATTTGACACAGCACAGGTCATCAGGTTCCGGCTTCAGAACGACACCATCCAGCTTACTAGCAGAGGAATAGAAACTGCACATTCTCCTCATCAACTTGCTAAAGGTGCCACTGTGTTTCCTCAACCTAATCCAAAACTCAGAAGGATTTTTAACAAACTCTACCTGGGCATCATAGAATGCATTCATCTTTAACCCAATAGACCTTAAGGTTGGGGGTGAAAGCTCTTCATCCACTTCTATGGAGCTGTTTTTGGTTCTTCTTCCTCCTCCTCCTCTACTCCCTGGCTCTGAAGGAATCGGTCAGCCAAGCAACAGGACTGTACTCCGAATACACAGTTAAGATTAGTCCCATCTTCACCATACAGGGTGACATAATACACATGCTCAAAGGAACAGTAAAATTCAATCTTTGCATTCACAGACTGACCCAGTATCAGTGCCTTCAGGTCACCGACCTGTGACCGAGACCAGCCTCTGCCACCGTCCCAGAGTCCATACAAAGCACAAGGGTAGGTCACCACAGGCATTCGAAAATATTCAGGCAGCAAGTAGCGCAGGCTACTGCAACTCACTAACTCCTTCCTGCCAAAGTCTACGTGAAGCACTTGGGCACAGCGCTGAGGCCGAAAAGTCTCAAGCAGGAGAGCCCTGTACCAATGTCCATCCAATCCACATGATGCGCACGGAGAGCCAGGCTTGTCCGGGCTCTCTTCCCTCTCTTCCCAGGTGGCACTGGTGGAGTTCTCACCCCCTTTCCCCGGGGAGCCCCGGTATATGTGGGCCATGCTCTCGGAGAGGCGGTGGATCTCCTGCGAGAAGCTCCGGAGCTGGCAGTGAATGCGGTGGGGATGGCACACTTGGGTCACCACTACGGGCTCCGTCACGCCCAGCTGCAGCTGGGGATAGAAGTAATCCAGACCAGGCTGCTCTTGCTTGGGCAGGACTCGCTGGAAGACTGGAGTCCCGGAGCCCATGTCACCAGTGGCCGCTGAGAGATAACGCTTGAGCAGCGAGCGGAAGAGACTGTGGGGTACCTGCCGGGCCAGGCCAAGCTCCTGCATCTGCTGGAACAGAGAAGGCACCTCCAGAAGGACCAGGCGGTGGAGGAGCAGCACGTCCAGGACCCGCCCGTGCACCTCTTTGCCCTGCAGGTTGCTAAGAAAGTCCATGGCGCTGGCCGGCCAGTGCTGGGGCTCGCCCCCGCCCGCGCCGCCGCCGCCCGCCGGCACCAGGCCGGCCAGCACGCAGCCCAGCACCTCCGAAGGCAGGTGGAAGAACTCGCTGCGCCCAGGCACCAGCGAGCCCGCGCCGGCCGTGATGGTGCGGCCCTCGTCCAGCAGGAAGATGCGGCTCTCCTGCGCCTGCCGGCTGACTACGCGGCCGCGGTGCCACAAGAGCCCCACCTGCACCAGGCAGAGCTCACCCGGCGAGGCCGAGGCACCGCCCAGAGCCCACGGGCCGCGCGTGGCCGCTGCTTCCTGGATCTCCCGGCTCAGCCTCAGGTACTCGTCCCTCCGTTCGCCCACCAGCCCCCATAGCTGCACGGGGATCACCTCGGGATGCACGTCCACGAAAGACACCCGCAGAACCAGCGAGGCCCCCGGCGTCGGCAGCCCGGGCGTCGAGCACATCTCCGTGGCTCGGCGCGGCCAGGCCACCGCCCACCGAAACCCCCAGCGCCGCTGTAAGGCGCTCACCACCAACCAGGCTCAAAAGACAGAGGGACTGGGAAGGGCTCCTGAGGCGCCCCCTCCAAAACGCACCCGACGCGGGGTCCCCAGCACTCGCGCCTACTGGTAAGACCCGGCGGCCGGACCAACCGCCCACGGTTGGGCCCACGGTTGCGCGGCCGCTCAGGCATTTGCCGCGCGTGGCGCCCCCGCTTCCGGCCGCGGGCCTGTGTGGGCGGCGGAGGGGAGCCCAGCTGGGGTGCGGTGGCAGCCGAGAGGTGGGACGAGGGGTGGCGTGAGGCCAAAAGGGGCTTCCAGGGCCGTTCAGGAAGCCAAAGGAGGCAGGACTGGGACATAATCGGTTTCTCCTCAGAGCATCTTCAACTCTGGAGGACGCAGCGTGAAGGCCTGGCCGAGGGCTGGGCCGTGGGGAGGCGCAAGCTAGAAAGGTACTTCCTATTCGTTTATCCGGCTAATACTGATGAGCCTAGTGAGCCAGGCGCAATGTTAGCCCGTGGGGAAATGGGCAGGAGGCAACGGCAGGTTCCCTGGGCGTTAGGGCCAGAGGTTTCAGAAGGTCCCAGGCTGAGGGGTGCAATGCGCTTGCTCTCCGCAGGGCAGAGGGTTCACAGTGCTCACTCAGTGTTTTGCTCTCGAGCAAGTTGCTGACCCTCTCTAAGGTGAACCTGTTTGATCACCTGAATTGATAAGAGTTATTAGTTAAAGTATGAGAGTATATGGAGGCTGTTTTATGCTTCTTTCCCCACAATTACTTGGGAGTTCTTTTGCCGTTTTGTTTTACTAACTGTAGCACGCCACCTTTGCAGGCATTTATTCATTTACTCAGAAATCTAGGACAGAAACAGACTCATGAAAGGAGGTCGAAGAATGAAAGAAACATGACTTCAAATTCTTCCTGTATCTACTGTGGCATAGGGCCTATTGGCTGGACTCTTGTTTTAGTCCCCTCACCTAAATCTTACCAAAGTAACCCTTAGAAGACTCTCTTTGTCAGGGCTGAGGGAGTGGAATGGAAAAATGGAGGCAAACTATGAGTAGCTCCCAGAAATATCTCTACATTAGATCTCTGTTCATCGGAGTTTCTCATAGTTTCTCACACTTTTCCATTTCATGCCTTCGCATTTTGAAGTATCAAATAAAGTATAGATAAAACCAAGGCAGTACTTAATATAACCCTGGCCTAACAGTATAAATCTGTGTTTTCAGTCTATCCAGATTAGACACTACCATGAGCTTCCAAGGGCTCCTGTGCTTAGTTTATTTTTCACAGTGTGTTGAGATTACCTTTGATCACCTTGTCATCCCACTAGCTTAAAAGCTCCATTTGGCAAAAACCGCTTCTTGCATTCCTGGAATCTAGCATGGGGCTAAGGCAATAAATACTTGCTGAATGAATAAATGCAAGAATGAATTTGATTTCTCTAAAAGGACTTTTACTTGACAAACTCATCCTTAAAATTTTAATTCTATTTTCCAAATTATCTCTAATTTTTCCTATTCATGATGGGAAAAAAAATAAGCATTTGATTTAAAAACATCTAGCAAGATCTAGCTGAAATGTTTCTTCCTCATAACTCTACTATACACCCAGGCAGAATTATTTCCTAGTTTTACATACCTTTTATATTATCTGTTTTCTATTTAACTTGTCTCCAAACTCTTTTCATGGCTCAGGCCCTATAAGCCTAGATGTCGAGGTGTATCATGTGGCTATTATGGCCTGGTCAGACAGAGCCCTTTCCTCTCATCCTTCCAGATATTTCCAATGTCCCACCTCTTTTGTATTTGGGGTAGGTATCTTTACTTTGCTCTGTCTTCCTCTGCTTCTGGACAGGGAACTAAACAAAATCAGAAGATTGCACTGTGAAGATTAAGCTCCTGCTAAATATTTCCCACATTTTATTAAGCAAAATATCTTGAGTTACACAGAAAATTAAAAAAAATAATAAAAAAACTTCCCTCCTATTAGGCTTCAGAGGCCCTTGGCTTCAGAAATGGTAAAGGAATAATTTTATTCTAATACAAATATTTAAGAGTTAAAAGCGAAAAGGATAAGGTGAAGGAATGTGTTTAAGAGGTAGTGGGACACTATATTATGAGTTATTTCAATATTTTTATGAAAACAAGATGCAGGGAACTTGGGCAAAACAGATAAGTCATATTTGTTCTGTGCTAGCTTAGACCTCCCTATATAGAGAACTCCAGCAGAAACACAGTACACTTTAAAGTCTATAGTTTCCACACCACTAATTAGCCCTGTTTAAAGATGCTTAGAAAATTATTGTTCAATAAATATTTTTTAATTATTCAAGTGAAAAATACCCTGTAAAGAGAATGAGAGGATAAAATATTTGCAAACCACATGTCTGACACCGGATTTGTATCTACAATATGTAAAATACTCTTGAAACTCGACAGTGAAAAAAAATACAGTTTGAAAATGGGCAAAAGATATGGAGACATTTCACGGAAGAGGACATACAGATGGCAAAGAAGAACATGAAATGATGTTCAACATCATTAGCCATTAAGGAAAAACAAAATCACAATCAAGTATCACTATAAATCTATGATAATGACTGGAAAATAGTGATAACATCAACACTGACCAGAATGTGGAAAAACTGAAACCCTCGTATTGCTGGTAGGAATGTAAAATGGTAATGTAAATGTACTTTGTAAAAACTCAGTAGGTACTTGCTGTATGACCTTGCAATTGCAATCTTGGGCATTTATCCCAGAGAAATGAAAATACGTTCATACAGAAACCTGTACATCAATGTTTATAGCAGCTATATTCCTATTAGCCAAAAACTGGAAACAACCCAAATAGTCTTCAATGGGTAAATGGTTAAATAGACTATGGTCTATCCATGCCATGTGATACAATTCATCAATAAAAAGGAAATGAACTGTAGATACATGTAACAATTTGGAACGTTCTCAAGGGAATTATGCTGAGTGAAAAAAAATCCCCAAATGTCTCATACTGTATGATTCCATTTATATAATGTTTTTGACTTAAAAACATAGAAATAGAGAATAGATTAATTGCCAGGAGTTAGGGATGAGGGGAGAAGGGATAAGTGGCTATAAAAGGGGTAGCATGAGAGAGCCTTGTGATGAAACTTCTATATCTTGAATGTGGTGTTTAAATGAAGATCACAAAGGTGATACATTGCCGAGAACTAGACACACACTCACACATGTGTGTGCTTATAAAACTTGTAAAACTAGTAAAATCTGAAACTAGATTATACCAATATCACTTTGCTAGTTTTGATTACGTACTACAATTATGTACAATGTTACCATTGGGGAGGACCAGATGAAAGGTTCATTGGATTTCCCTGTATATCTTTTGCAACTTTATGTGAATCTAATATTTTTAAATAAAAAGTTTTTTTAAATTCTAAGATATTCAGATTTTAGTGTCCACAACTGAAGTTTTATTAGACTCCACACACACACATACACACACAAATAATTCAAGACCATGCTAATATAGGGAGATAATTAGAATAGAAAGAGCAAGCCAAGATTATTTATCTATCCTCATTTCCACATCTGAAAATGGGTATAAGGGGACATACCATATAGGATGGTTCTGAAGTATGAATTAATGTAAGTACAGTTAATGTGTTTGCATTAAATAAATTTTTGAGATGCAAAAAAACAGTAGAAAAAGCAAAGGCATCAGATTTTGAAAGTCTCTGGTTTTCATCTCAGGGCGACATGGATAATGAACTTTTCTGATTTAGTTTCTTCATCTATAAAAATAGAATTTTACTTTATTGTGAAGATTAAATGATCCAAAATAGGTAAAGGGCCCAGCACAGTAGACATATAATATAGTTATTAGTAACAGTAAATAAAATAAAAATTTAAAACACTTTCTTGTTCTTTTAAAGATTAAAAAAATCTTAGATTTTTTTAAAAATCAGGTTTATTGATGCATAATTTACATACAGCAAAATTCACCCTTTTGTGCAGGTGGATGTTTTGACAAATGTAAAGTTAAACATTTGTATACAGTATGCAGTTGTATATAATGTAAGTGCACATCACCACAAATATACAAATGTATAGTTGTAAATGTATATGACAGCTAAAATATAAAACATTTGCATTATCCAAATAGTACCCCGATGTCTCTGCATTCTATTCCCTCCCTCCTTCTTGAGCTGTCCCTGACAATCACAGTTCCTGGCAACCTCTGTCTATAGTTTTGCCTTTTCCAGAATGTCATATAAAAAGGAACCATAGTTTGTAGCCTCTTGTGTTTGACTTCCATCACTTAGCATAATGCCTTGGAATTCATCCATGTTGTCTATATCGATAGTTTTATTGTTGAATAGTTTTCAATTGTATAGACACAATTTATTCACTGGATGATGATGTTCAGGTTATTTCCAATTTTAGGTGATTATTAATATAGCTGCTGTAAACATTCACATACATTAGTTTTTGTGTCCCAAGAAATCTTTGCCTAAACCAAGATTTAAAAGACTTTCAGTTTTCTTATATGTTTTATCATTTTAGCTCTTGTATTAAGGTCTATGATCCATTCTGAATTAATTTTTGTAAATGTTGTGAGAGGACTGAGGGCTTTGTTTTATTTTTGCACATGGATATCCAACTGTTATAGTGCCATTTGTAGCAAAGACTATATTTTCCTGATTAAATTACTTTGGCACCTTTGCCAAGAATTAGATGACCAGATGTAAGTGAGTTTATTCCTTGACTCTGTATTTTGTGTGTGTGTGTGTGTGTGTGTGTGTCTTTATGCCAGTAGCACACTATCTTAATTATTATACAAACTGCTTAAAAGTCAATTTTGAAATTAGGTAATATGAATCCTTCAACTTTGTTCTATTTCCTCAAAATTGTTTTGTCTATACAAGGTCTTTGCTTTTCCATACATATTTTAGAACACACTTGTCAAATTCTGCAAAAAAAAAAAAAAAAAAACCTGTCAGAATTTTTATTAGGATTGCATCGTAGAAAGAGATGAATTTGAGAACTGACTATTGAGTTTTTCAATCCATAGACACAGTTTATCTCCATTAACTGAAGTCTTTACTTTCTCTCAGGAAATGTTTTGAGTTTTCAGTGAACAAGTCTTACATACATTTTGATAGATTTATCCCTAAGTTCTTCATGTTTTTGATGTCATTATAAATATTAACTAAAAAAAATTTTAGTTTCTAATTTTTCACTGCTACAGCAATATCTTTATTTTTGTATATTGACCTAATATTTTATCACTTTGCAAAGGATCACTTATTATTTCTAGTAGCTTTTTAAAAAATAGTCCTTAGGATTTCCTACATAGTTATATCATTTATGAATGAAGACAGTTTTTATGTCTTCTTTTCCAATGAAGACATGCCTTTTATTTCTCTTTCTTGCCTCACTGTAATGACTAAGACCTCCAGTACGTTTTGAATAGATATGGGGAGAATAGACATTCTTGTCTTGTTCCTGATTTAGGGAGAACACCTTCAGTCTTCACCAGTGTGATGTTAGCTATAGGTTTTACTTAGATCCCTTTATCGAGTTGAGGAAATTCCTTTCTTTGGCTAGATTGTTGAGAACTTTTATCATGAAAAGACATTGGATTTTCTCATTTTATAAACTTTTTTACATTCTATTAAGTTTTTTTTTCCTTTTTTTGTTAACAAGGTGAATTATATTCATTGATTTTTTTGAATGTTGCACTAACCTTGTATTCCTGGGATAAACCCCACTGAGATATGATGTTATTATCCTTTTTATAATGCTGAATTAAATCTGCTAATATATTTTTACATCTGAATTGTATAAAAATATACATAACAAAAAACTTACCATTTTAACCATTTCTAAATGTACAGTTCAGTGGCAATAAGTACATTCACATTGTCGTGCAATCATCACCACTATCCATTTCCAGAACTATTTCATCATCCTGAACTGAAACTATATATCCATTAAACACTAACTTCTCATTCTTCCCCACTCCAACCCCTTGAAACCACTATTCTACTTTCTGTTTCTATAAATTTGATTACTCTAGTTATCTCATAAAAGTAGAATCATACAATATGTGCCCATTTGTGTCTGGCTTATTTCACTCAGCATAATGTTTTCCAGATTCATCCATGTTGTAGTATGTCTCAGAACTTCCTTTTTAAGGCTGAATAATATTCCATTGTACATACACATATATATGTGTGTGTGTGTGTGTGTGTGTATAATATTCCATTGTGTATATCTATGTATATGTACAATGATATGTGTATATCTATGTATATGTACAATGGAATATTATATATATATACACACACACACACACATATATATACATACAATGAAATGTACATATATACACACATACAATGGTATATATATATACACATACAATGGAATATGTATGTGTGTGTATATACATATATATGTATGTGTAGATATCTATATATATATGTATATACACACACATACACACACATATTTTGTTTATCCATTCATCCAGCAAGGGAACTTTGGACTTTTTCCACCATTTGGCTATTTGAAAAATGCTGCTATGAACATTAGTGTACAGATACCCGTTCAAGTCCCATTCATTTCCTTTGGGTATATACCTAGAAGTGGAATTGCTGGATTAAATGATAACTCTTAATTTTTGAGGACCCTCTCATATTGTTTTGTATAGCAGTTGTACCATTCTACATTATCACCAGCAAAGCATAAAGTTTCCAATTTCTCCACCTCATTGCTAACACTTGTTATTTGCTGTGTTTTGTTTTGTTTTTATAATAAGCATCCACATAGGTGTAAAGTGGTACTTATAGATTTTTGCATCTATGTTCATAAGAGACTTTGACCTGTAGTTTTCTGTTTTATAAATGGATTTAAGCACTTTGGACAATAAGTAAAGAAAACAAATGAGAAGTTAAGGATGTCCTGAGGTTTCTTGGCTGCAGTGCTGGCTGTGTATTGCAACAGAGTATCCTGGAGGAAATGCAGATTTTAAAGGTCAGGGAAGAAGGAGTTGTACAAAAAGAGTGATTTAATATTGGAAAAGTAGAGCTCACAAGGACTGTGGGCCTTTGTGGTATAGATGTATAATTGGCAACTAAGAAAACATGACTGAAGCTTGAGAAGTAAGGACTAGAAACATAGGTACCATTTGAGTGCCTATTATGTGTTTGAGAATTAACTAGCCTAAGGGTGGTAGCTTAAATCACAGAAACACATAGCTCTTCCTAGAGAGAGAGTAAAATTGAGAAGAGGGCCAAGAACAGAACCATGAGAACCAAAGTTTAAGGACTTGGCAGCAAAGAAACAGCCAATATAGACTGAAAGGTAGTAATGAAAAATATAAGTGACAGGAGGGAATAAGTTCATGGAAATCAAAGTAGGAACATGGTGTCAAAAAGAAGGGACTAATTATCCAATGTTTAAAATAATTCCAATTTTATTTTCCTCTTTTATCCTCAGCCAGTGAGCATGTCCATCATTCTAATTATGAGTTATCCATCTGCTTTATTCAGAGCAGAACTAGATTAATAGGGAGAACTGGATTAATAGCTGAACTGGATTTATTATAAGTTAAATATATAGTGACAGGGTATGAGCATCCTTTGTGCTAATATAAATATTTCAAATCTAACATCCTAAATTAAGCCAGTTTCTATTTCACTTGTGAGAAGTAAAGATTAAGATTTAAAAATCATCTCTAATTTTATTATCATCTTAACTAAAAAGCATACCAGAACAAAACAAAACCCTTAACAGCCAATTAGGCATCTTAAAACATTTTAAAAATTAGAGTGCACTATATTTACTCACATATACTCCTGTTTGTCACCAGACATTTCAGCAAACAGACATCTTTAGGCATCTTCATCTACTTTCATCAAACCTTCAAAGTGGATCCTGCTGCTGTTGACAATCACAGCAGCCTGTTGGGGGTAAAGTATGGGGGGAGAAAAATAAACATGTATTCCTCAAAATTCAGAAATAATGAAACACTTGAGTGGGTAAAATGTGCATTTGTATGGTATCAATAAAGGCCAAAACAGTGATATTTTTGTATACACTCTAAAATGAAGAATAATATAAACTTATCACATATTTATTAACTATTAATCAACTAATCAAATATTTTGTATTACTTAAAACTATCAAATTCTAGATTTTTATGGAATAGCTATTAAACTGATAAATACTTCTTAAATATGATAATTATGTTTAAATACATAGAATCTTTTGAAAATGCAGCGAAGCACTTAATAAAGAATCTCATGAAGTCAAGTGTTACTGACCCAACATAATTATTCTGAAGATAGGAGGAAAACAACATGAATTAAATCATGGGTACATAAATGTTTTTCTCTTTCCACCCCCCCAAACATCTCTGAATTCAACAAATACCTTCTAATTGGCGCCTATTTGAATTGTATAAAGAGAAACAGATGTAGCAGATGGTCCTTGCTTGCAAGCAGTTCATTCTGTATAGAGGAAGCAGGATACATCAATACATAGACATATATCCAGAGTAGGAGAAGTAATGGGAGAATGGAGTGTTGAAGATATTGAAGTCTTCAGAGATCATTCTAGATAGTAAAGTGAGATTTAACCAATGGAAGTGAAGAGGAATGGGTGGTGGTGATGGAAGGAAAGTTAGGTGGAGAGCACAGTATGAACACCGCATGAGAAGCAGCCAAGAGCATCTCCAGAGAAATATGTGAGCAATGCATTTAAAAGGAGGTAGAATAGTTATGCAGTAAAATGCAAAGGTTAGAAAAATGGGTTGGAGTCAGATTGAGAGGTACTTGAGTATAGTATTAAAGATTTTTATTGTGTGTGTATGAAGGACTGATTGAAGAACATGGGGTGACATACCCAGAGCTGTCTGAAGGAAGATGACTGCTACTCTGTGGATTTCTGGGTGAGAAAGGCCAGTAATATAAAGATTAGAGTAATAAAATTATACTTTAAGGTCTGAATAAAGCTTTCTCAACCTTTAAATACGAGAAATTAGTTAAGTCTAGGGAAAAAAAATCCCAATAAGCTTTTTTAATCCTATTTTTCACACATGGCATCAGTATAATGGCCCCCTCCAAGTATATGCTATTTAAGATTCCAGAGTTCAATCAGTTCATCTTATAAACAGAAATCATGAGATGTGAAGAGACTTGATCATAGTTATACTACTTTGTCAGAAGTAGAACCCAAAATAGGATAAAGATCTTTAGAACCCATATTGTCTTTTTTCCATATTATCTGGCATTTAATAATAATATATATATTCACTTGGTAATCATTTTAATGAGTCCTGGTTTAATTGGGGATAATTGAGTATTTTTTTACCCCTCCCCCCCTTTTTTTAACCACAAGTATTAAACATTTTTTCCCAAAGAGGTCCTGAGGGAATCTATTTTCATCAACAGAGAAGAACATACATAACTATTTCAATTGTAAATAAATGATTGTGCATAAAACTTCAAAAATGACAAAACAGCAAATTTTTATTTTTACATTTAAAACCTCCCTGAATTTGTCTTTTTCTTAGCAAAGTGGAAAAAAATTTAGACTAGTCTTATAACTGTCATATTCTTAAAATAATGAAGACAGACTTAATTGATTTATGTTATATATATCTGTAATCAACTTCTGTTGAGTACCTAACAGCAAAGAAATGCTACTAATGAGAGTAGAAATTTTTATAAAAACAAGACATAGTCTTACCACTAGTCACTTATAATCAAATAGGATTTGGAGCTCTTGATAAAGACACATTATTCCTTGCTAAAAGCAAATTTAGGAAATGTAATCTCTTTATTTAGATAATTATGCTAATTCACTTATACATACAAAGAACAAATAACTGTATAATTAAAAAATAAGGATATATTTTTCGATGAGAAGAAAACCATTTGAGAAGAGAAAAAATTGGGAGCTTAAGCAAAAGAAACTTAGATATTAAGTGTTACCAACACTGAGCTGAAGATAAATACCTTATATAATAGTAGTAGTATGAGAAAGTGAGATTGAAATGGTTAAGTCTTTCAGTATGGACACAAAATTCCTGAAATTTTTATTCCTTTTTATTAAATGTTGATTATTTTGAAGAGGAACAAGATAATTTCACATTGGTAAAACTAAAATTAAGTCCCAAGATACATTAATAAATATGATTTCACTGAAAAAGTATGAATATGATGGGATATATATGTTGAATATACAGGATTTGATCAGATTATGGAGGGTCTAATGGTCAAGGTAAAGTATGGTAACTCCATTCTAAAATTTATGCTAAAGGCAATTCAATTCATTTAACATGTAAAAGCAGGAAAATGTCATAAAGAAAAATCTGTACAATAGCTGTCAGTTATAATTAGGAGATGTGTATTTTTATCCTGGTTCTGCTACTAAGTAACTTATGAATATGAACAACTCTACTTCTCTGGACCTTAGTTTCCTAACATGTAAAATGAAAGAGTTAAACCAGATAATCATTTCAGGTTAAAAAATCCAGTTATTCTTGATGAATCCAGATACCAAGAAAGAGTCTCAGTACTTAAGCAATGTTTTCCCACCCCAAGTCCCTCAAAGAATAAGGCTAAGGAATTTTTTTTACAGTCCAGTTGGCATATAGTTCTTTTGATCCAGTTTTTACTTAATTTTAAATATTATAAAACATAAAAAAATCAAAAGTTCTTCGAGTGGTTCCAATGCAGAACACTTGGGAATTTAAGTACATAACATTATTTTAAATACAGTTAACAACTCAATTCATACAGATTGACAAATGCAATGGAAAAGCAGTCCACCTAACGATTTTAAGAGATTAAATTCTACATTATACAACTCTATGGAAAAACAATAAGCCACTGCAGATTAGTATATCACATTAAAATATATTTTAAAGTATATTTCCCCTCTTAAATGGCAGTGATTATGCATTAGTACAACCACAAAGCACTTGTAAACTTTTTTCTGATTAACATCATCCATGTCTGTGATAACAAATTGTTGGGTCAGCTCCATGGTCCTTCCTAGATAAGCTTTCTGAGTTTGCCTATTTTGACAGTTACAGCCTCTACTCATAAACGTAGCCATCCATCCAGAAATGCCTACTGTCTGAGGTTGGGGAGCAGGTGGTATATAGGTAAATCTGAAGAAATCTCTCACCCTTCTAGAATTAGAAAATTGATGTGATTTGGGGATTGGAGGTATAACTGTATACGACAGGCAGTTTATACTTATTATTTTTTAGGCAGGAAGCTTTGCCAAACTGAATAAGTTTCAGGCTAGAGACAGCTTTAGTATGATTTCTGAGTTCTCTCTTTCTCTCTCTGTGTTAGGAAAGGGGGAGACAAGAAAGAAAGGATGACTTCATCTCAGCTTTGCTTTTAAAATGCCACTAAAAGGCTTATAACAGAAGTTGCTTTATAAAAAAGACCTATCCACCTGAGCTTTAATCCGGCAAGTTGCATTCTTAATATATTGATGATTCTTGAGAGCTAGCAATAAATCCAAGTTGTAACAGGATATATAATAAAGTAAATACTGTTTGTTTTCACCAAGATTCAAAATCTGTGGCTGTCAGTTAGTCCTTAGCATGTGCAGTGGAATGCTAACCAATTAACACAAATCTAACTAACAGCACTGACAGAAAGCAGCTTCTTTCCTTGAAATCCAAACATCATCTCAATTTGATTTTTTTTCATCCACCTGGGAAGAAAAGATACATCAACTTCCTTCAAAACTAGGAAAATTCAAAATGTTTATTCATAAATTTTCATTCACCTATCTTTAATTTACAATATGTGCACTTAAACAACAGAAAAGTGAAATATCAAATTTCAAATGAAAATACTGACATAATAGATTCAGTATATATCTTAGTCACTATTTTGTATGTATGTATGTATGTATGTATGTATGTATGCATGTATGTATGTAGTCTTTCCCATTCCTATTGTCTACTTCAGGTCTGAGATGCTGTCTCCCTTCGGGCACTTCTCCTCTAAGCAGGCTCTTCATCATAGAATAACATTTCAAAGGTCAGATCTCTCAAGGTAAGTGGTCAGGATTCCATTCTTCTTTGGAAAATGCTCTGCTGGGTCTAATCGGGTGGCCATGTGTGATCCAACCAGATTGCTTTTGAACAAAGAGAGGAGTCAAAGAGAACTTGGGTTTCCAGAGAAAAATAAAGTGCTGCCCCCTATAAATCACAGTCTCTGTAGAATAAGGTGTCTTCCTAAAGAGGTAGAAATAATAGGGGGGTGGTGTTGTAGATGCCCATATTTCAATGATACTGAACACTGTATCTTTAAGGGCTGCATCTTTAAGGGCTTAAAATGGACTGACTCCACTCATCTCTCTGATTTTTTCATAAGTAAGCCAGAACACCAGTGACCAAGGGGTCTGAAAGATTAACCAAAGAAGTTAGTGCATATTTCAAATAAATTATTAATATTCTACATATATGCATACACATCTTTGAATGACGAAGTCATTTTGAATACGCCTAGGCTGAAAACAAACATTTTGGTATTTTTCATGTCTTATATTTCTCACAGATTTCTCTGAACAATTTAAAGTAGGAGAGAAAGGTATTGATATCCCTTTTTTGATGAATAAGGACACTGAGGCTTAACAATCAAACGCCTTTTACATGTTGTGGATCTAGACCGTTGGCTTCTGGCTTCCATCCCAGGGTTCTTTTACTGAACATTACTGGCTAAAAGGCTCGGACTCAGCATGCCTGAATCCTAGGCTGGACTCCTCTACATGTCGTTTGTGTATAGACCATGAGAAGGAGGCACTTAAGAACTTCAAAGTGAAGATGAAAAGTTATCCTCTGGGAGTTAGGTCACAAAACCAACACCTGCTATATCACAAAATGGATATAAAAATTCACATCAAAGAGAGAGAAGAATTTCCAGCTCAAAAACACTTAACTTGAATGAAGGTATAACTGTACCAAAGGGAATTATATATAAAGAGATGAGAGTTATTCGTCAACAGAAGATTTAAATGCTAAACACACAGAGGGATATCACAGAGTAAACACTGGAAGCAACTATCAGAGAAACAGTGTCTTGGATCCAATTCCTGTCTGGTTTGGTTCGTAGGTGATGGGTAATACTGACCAGAGAGAAACTCGATCATCCTAGAGAAATAGGCTTAAGCAATTAGAATGTAAAACATATTTGGCTAGAGAGTTTGTAAAACAATATGTGTATCATATATGTTTGAAAATATTAAGCATGTTATGTTGGTAGACTAAGAATTTACTAGTGGAGATCACATCTTGGTGAGTTAAATGTATGAAGACATGGACAAAATAAAGAATGTGAAGCTGTGATGATACCATATTCTTGTAACCACAAATGAAGTGAGCCAAGCATATGCCTATTAATGTGGAGCTAGACACGTAAGGGCTCTTGGTTTAATATTCTTAAGTATTAATTTTTCAAATAAGCTCTTCCTGTTATTTTCCTGTGTTCAGCAAGCAACCTTCTGATTAAACTTGGCTCCCCATACAGCACAGATTTAGAAGAATTCTGTCCAGAGGACTTCAGCATCTGGATCACTTGTCAAGTGTGTTTCTCAATGTGAATGAGGTGATACAGTGCTCTGCTTATCAATTTCAATGAGTTCAGCTGAAATGAATCTGTATTTGTAAGGCCAATATACTTGGAAATGCTCATGAGTCAGATTTCTAAGATCAGGGTCATGCACTATGGCAAATCAACAAGGCAATGATCTCTGGTTGTTTACCCAGCCTTTCTCTGGTAACATCTCATCATCACTACACACTCTTTTCTTTTAAAACTTCTATAACTAGCTGTAGGGTCTTGAGAAACTCAGTATACTGCATTATTTAGGAATATGAATTTAAAGATGAACAGATCTGTAGTCAATTCTTAGCTCTGCCATATACTAGATATATGAACTTGAGTAAGTTTCTTATATGTTAAGCCATGGTTTTCTCATCTGAAAAATAAGAATAACACTACCTGTTTTATGAGGTTTTTGTAAGATTTTAAAAAATAATTTACATGTGTAAAGAGCTTAGTCCTATGGTTGTTACACATTAAGTACTCATATTTTTTGTAATTGTAGAAAATGGGTCAGTTTAAGTGGTCTCAGTATTCCTTTGTCTTTGGATATTCTCCTTGCCCATCACTCCTCCTGACCCTGATTTTGTTTTTCATCAATAGTTTCGCCCATCCATATAGTCTCCCATACTAGAAACCTAACAGTCACACTTCCTTCTTTTTCTCTCTCACATTCTAGATCAGTTACTAAGTCCTGTGGAGTTAACCATCAATGTCCCTAGAATCTATCTTCTCTCCATATCTACAATCATCTCCTGGCTAGACCACTGTCAAAACTTCCTTTCTTGTATCTTAGCTTTTAATGTATCTTCTATATTGCTGCCAAAGTAATCTTGTCGCCAAACAAATCTTAGCACATTGTTCCCATGTTTAAGCAGCTGTTTGCTAAACATAGGGTTACACATGAACTATGAAACTTGGCTCACCAGGTCCTTCTCAAATGAGTTCTTAAGTACTTCTCTAGAATTCTCTCCAGCACCCTCCTCTGAGGCCCTATTTTCTCTCTAGCCACAATGAATTTTCTGTAGTTCCCTAAACATATCAGGGCCCTCACTTTTATGGGTCATATGGCCCTTCCTGATCTGGTCCCTGTCTCTCTCTGACCTCACCCTGTGCTGTTCTCTTCTGTGTTTGTGTTTGGCCTGCCTACTGGGCTTCCTTCATTTCCTCGAATTCATTATGTTCTCTGTCCATTCCAACTATTCCTTCTACCAAGAATGTTCTTTTCTACTCTTTTTATGAGGCTAAGTCCTACTCATTCTTCAAATCTCAATTCAAAAGTCTGTTCTTCAAGAAGATTTTCTTAATATCTCAGCCTAGGCTGTACTTGCTTGCTATATATTTCCATATTACCATGCATATTCCCCCTCCCAGTCATCACTTCGAGTTTCTTATTCAATGTGTGTCTTCACCTAGACTAGAAGCTTTAGCACCAAGGCAGGCATTGAGTACAACACTTTGCATGGTGTAGGTGCTCAACTAATATTCTATTATATTGTATAAAGTACTGATTGTTTGAATTTCTAAACCCACAACTCATTCATTTTTTAAAAATATTTTTTAACTTACAAAATACTTGAGTACTTTGTTTTTATTTTGTTATTTTGCTTAAATAAGTTTAATTCTACATCTTAGTTCACTTCAGTAAAAGCATTCAAACTAAATAAAAATGACATAATGCTTTCTTACTAAGCAGAGCTTTGTGGTAATAAGTATTAATGTGTAATGCGACATTTGCCATCAAGGTAACAAATTTTGTTTGAAACGGTAACATTTTCATAGGAATGGTCTCTAGTATATAACCTGTATACCTGTCTGGAATTATGATATTTTGGCTAAATAGACTACTAAAAGCTTTACATTGCAGAAAATCTATCTATTGACTTTATAATAACAGAATATCAACTTATTCACTTCTGGATGTAAATGAATTACTTTACCTTAATCTACCAAAGAAGGTAATAGAACTCTGAGGAAAGGTAAAAAGGAAACAGAAAAGAAATATAAAAAAGAAAGACAGAATTGAGGTTTGGGAACCGGACCATGCCAAAAAACGAGAAGAAAAAAGGGAAAGTATTTACATATTAAAAGTAACTTCAGTACAAACAAAAACAAAAGAAGGAAAGACCTAACTTTACCATTCGCAGCCAAGATGGTAAAAAGCCTTTGTACAGACTCATGAATCCTTCCCCTTGAACAGCTTGAATCAAGCAGTCAGTTGATGATTTATACAAAAGTCCCCTAAAAAGGAAAGAAGACAATTTTGTTAAATTTCTTGTGTGTAAATAGATGTATAAATAAAATATTAATTAAAAAAAATAGCCGAAGGAAGCTTACTATAAATTAAATATTTTCTGCTAGTTTAGGGCAAATAATATTTGTGGTTCTACATACAGTAAGTCCTCACTTAATGTCATCGATAGGTTCTGCAACTTCACGCAAAATGATGTATATAATAAAACCAATTTTACCATAGGCTAATTGATATAAACAAGAGTTAAGTTCCTATTTTATCTCATCAACGTTATAAGGAAATGACGAACAAAATGACATTATTACCTCTTCTGACTTTAAAGATATTTTCAAGGTTGACTCTTCTGATTCATCCCACCCTTGGTCTTATACTTAGAATTCACTCTACCTGATTGCTTCCAGGGAGAACACGCTGTTTTATATCAAATCAAATTTTCCATGTTATGCAAGTCATGAGCTTCTGAAGAAAATGCTTTGTAAATTCTCAGCAGAGTCTGTTTTCAAAACTCTTTGAAAACAATAAAGTCACAATAAATATCTTGTGACTAAATGATTATTAAATTAGCTTACTTCCCCAAAGGCACAGTGCATTTTCATCAAAGAGCAGGTAATTGCATAAAAATAATTTCCTGGTTGAACACATAAACACATAAATACATTTCTATTAAGAATAAATAGGGGAAACATCTTTAAAGAACAATGTTATTATAGACATTCAGACACACGGATACTGAAGACTTTCTATCTACCTTCCTTGCTTATCTCGTGGTTGATTCATTATTCGGCTTTTGATGACATCAGCTGGTGTTCCCAGAATAGAAGCTACCAGTCCAGAACATAAACTGTAGATACAAATAAGTGAATTGAAAGAGAATATGTAGCAGTTGCTCGATTTTAAGAAAAGGGAATTTAATATTTAGAAAAAATAGAACACAATATATTACTATAATATTCTTTATAATAATGCTCTTTTAGCTTAAAATCAATGCTAAATTAATTCATTAAAGAGGTAGATCAAAAGAAAAACAAAAGAATATCAGTCAATAAATATACATTGAACACCTACTGGTGGTAGGTACTCTTCTAGAGGGAGAGCAAGACAGATAAGATCCTGTGCTCAAGGCATTTACACTCTATTTGGGCAGAAGCAGAGGAGAAATGAATAATTTCAGATGCTGATAAGTGGTATGAAAAAAATAAAATGGGGTAATGCGATAGGGAGTAACTGGGTGACAGGCAGTAATAGAAAGTCTTTTGGGGTGACAGCAGAACTGACACCTGGCAAGAAGGAAGCATCTATGTGAAGAACTGGAGAAAGAGTATTATAAGCAGAAGAGCAAGCTCAGAATGCTCTTGGTGTGTTTAAGACAGGGAAAGCAACCAGCATGGCTGCAGTATCCTGAAGGAGTGAGAGTCAAGCCAGATGAAACACTAAAGAAGTAGGCAGAGATCAGCCCATGAAGGCTATTTAAGGAGTCTGATTTTATTTTAGATATTCTCTCTTTGCCCATTATGCTCTAACAATATAACTAAGTGTAGTTCTCTATACACCATGCTAACACCGCCGTGCTTTTAATTTTCATTTGGAATGTCCTATGCCCCAGATAATGGAAAATTCCTTTTCTTCTTTCAATCCATGCTCAGGCACAGAGTCTGATGAGTGTTTGGTCATCCCCCTTTCTTTACTCAACAAGGCTAATCACTTTCTTGAAAAAGGCTTCTTGTCCATTACACAAAAGAGACAAAATGGATGTGGTCAACCTACTGCAGAATAAATCAAGAGTGTCTAAAAGAATAACTGAAAGGTTTAAAAACCACTAGCAGTTCATTATGTAGGCATGAGAGAAGCAATATGGGAATGTGATCAAAATTCCATAAACAGGAAACTCATTAATTACTTTAAACTTTTTCAGGAGAAAGGCATGTGATGAGAAGAGGGGTAGTTAACCTGAATCATGGAAAACAGAAGAAGGTCTAAGTGCCAGAAGCTGGGGTCATGGGAGTCTGAAGAAGAGCTTATGTTTGGCTAATGGAAAGCTAGAAAGAAAAACTGCATAAAGCTTTCATGTTCTTCTGGCACATCAAATACCTCACAAAGATAAGGACCATTGAATTCTGTGCCAAGGCTTTTGAAATCTCTGAAGGCTCTGTGGTAGGAAAGTTGAAGCTGTATTAGGAATCTTCATACTCTCTTACTCTAAATTGTCATATCAGAAAGTACCTAGACTCTTTCTACCTCTTTCAGGTCAAGATTTAAAATTCAAAGGAAAAATCACTCTAGAACTACTTGAATTCAAGAGAAGGAACCCATATAACCTATTTACATGTTCCAGCAAATGACCCAACTATGCATATAACTTTCCTTGGGTCTCTGATCACATGGCAGGCATTACCTATACAGAAAGAATGTATTGTTTTGCCACATATATTCTAATAATACAAACTAATGCTCTTTTTACATTATTTCCTATTTGTTCAGCTTCTTTGAAACTCAAAGTTCAATATCATTAATTTTAACATACCTTCATATTTTCACATAAAAACATCTCAACTAACACAAAATTCACCTAAGTTCTAAAGCTATCTACTAAAAAAAACACACAAAACTAATCAAGAGGTAAGGAACAGAAAAGATGCAGGGTAAAAAACAGATACACCGCTTCTCCCTCTTTGCTTGATAGACTGGAAGGAAACAGTACATTCTGACTTATTCATCTACTTCAGAGATGCTGGTTGCCAGCTCAGCTATACCTAAGTGGCAAGAGTGGAAACTATTTCTATCAGAGTATAATATTAATAAACTCTTTTTAAAATGTGGGTAGCCCTTGTAATTGATTATTAGAGGATTTTTTTTTTTTTTACCTGCATATGAACCACGTCAAGGACCCCCTTCAGCAACTGTGGGCCCTACCTGTCACATAGAGACTTTAGGACACAGCTGCCAATGGCCTCATCCTCTTCTTATCAAATTGTTTTGAGGCCATAGTATGATCTGGCTAGACGTTTTTAAAAATTAAATATTAGAGATTATTAGAGATTATTTATTTAAATCTTATTTAAATAATATTAATTTAAATAAATATTGAAAAAAGAGAGCAAATAATGTATTTAAAAGGTCTCAAATAAGACGGCATCTAGAGTCAAAGGGAGAAGACACAGCAGTAACAGGGACATCGATTTTGCCAAGCTACTTGTAATGGGTGTTGCCATTGTTGCTATTGACCTTTATCACTCCTTGCTAGTAATACACCAAAATGAGGCCCAGGACACAGCTAAAGAGGTAATGGACAGAGAGTGACTGGCAAATCTTTTGTTCTTTCCAGGAGACCAAATGGCTATCTACAAGACTAGTTTAAAATATTCCATCAGCACTGTATCAGAATCAGCAATACTCTTCAGGATCAACTAAATAATCATGCTTATGTATAATCTTCACACAGTGTGGGCTGACCTTTTACAGTTTTACCTCTCAACAGTCTCAAGATTTAAAAAAGGGGATTATCCTAGTCTTCTTGTTCTATATAATTTTCCAACCATTAATTCAACTCAACTTTTCTCTGCTTCCTTTATTAACATACCTTGCCACCTGCCTTCCAATCTCACTAAAATCCTGGCCATAGTTTTCTACTGTTCCTGCCTTACCCCAGGACTTCATTTTAGTCATACTATTTTTTAAAATTGTGCTAAAACATACACAGCATACAATATACCATTTTCACTACGTTTAATCGCATAGTTCAGTGCTTACACCATTCCTATTCTTCTTCTTCATATCAAACTCTCTTTTCTTCAGATGTTGACAGCTTGTATAAAGCTCTCTGTATAGCTGCAATCCCCTTCAAGCCTCCATGAGCATTCACTGTATTCTACGACACAACATCCAGAACTTTAAGATCACATAGCACTCTGTACCTACTTATAGTTCATAGTTAGCAACTTCTGAGCTGCCTCATAATACACCAATCTATTTAAAAACCTAATCCAGTGGGTGGAGCTCAAAAATGAACCAAATACCAATCATTTCATTTTCTCAAAAACTGAATTAGAGAAGAATAAGGGTAAGTTATTTCAGATTAGGGCTGGAATATATACTGATGGAAATCTTAGGTCTTTCTAAAAATGACATATCTGTTAAGTGGAGTAGTGTACATTAAGTAGACTTACACCTGCTGAGAAATTCATGAATTGTAGGTTCAAAGTGTGGGATTTCAAAGACCATCTGGATAGAAAGACAATGACAAAGAAACAGATATCACTGTGGGAATTTCAAGCAGACTTGAATATAACCTGCTCCTGGAGTAGAACATAACAATGGAACAGACAAGCATCTTAAAAGATAGAAAAGTTTCACAAGATGACTTGACAGGTAGTGACTGGGAAGAAAGTCTCACAGGCAGAACAAATAGCACACATGAAGACAATGGCAGAAAGAAGGTAAAAGTGACTAAAGATATAATAAATATGTTTATAGGGATGGAGGTAAAAATGGAAGAAAGGCTAAAATCCTCAGTTTTCTCTATGAAAGAGGAGGCTAGACTATTGGATAGAAAAAGTACGGTGTAGATTGTGATCACACCTCAGTGGGAATTTGGAATGGGAAAGAACAGGAGCAAAGACAAACAAAAGTATTGCCCTAGCAACGCTAAGATAATACTTATTTTTAAAAAGGAAGGATGACAGAAAACCACTCTAGGAATATTAAGCTAAGGCGAACCTGAATTCGGCATAATTACATCTATATCTGTGTATCTCCAAATATCACTGGTTTGACACTATTAATATAGTTTGGGGTTGTCTAAATAGCGTAATGGGTTCTAGAATCTGGAAACAAGATCAGAAGCTAAATAAAATCGCTATAATGTTAAAGATACTAGACATCTATAAAATAACTCACTCCAATGGATATGTGAAATTGTGTTGTAAAGAGATTAAAGCACATACTGTTCCTGCCTGAAATGCTCATCTTCCTTTCTCTGTAAAGAGCCACAAACAGCCCTTCAAAACATACGTCTAATTCTATCTCCTTTGTAGGACCTTCTAAGTGGTTAGTTTTCTCCTTCCTCTGAACTCTACATTAACTAGTCACTTTCTTTCAGCATTTACTGTCCACTGTTTTTACAACTGTCTTGATTTCTGACTTGGTAAACTTTTGTACCAGTTACAAGGCCCTGCACAGTGTCTTTAACATAAAAGATCTTCAAATATCTACTGAACTGAGTTGGAGAATCCACCATCAGAATGTGACCCTGGGAGGGTCTCACCAAGGTACAAATATTTGGGGACGTTTAATCTGCAACATTCTACAACTTTGTTTTTATCTTCCTATTTTAACTTCAGCAAACTTTAAGAAAATTGCTCTCTATAAATGTATCACCTTTCTCTAAGTGTGTAATCACTAGATTCCCAATCAAAAGAGATAAAAAGTTAGAATGTGTGCCAAATATGAAAACGGTGATATAGAGAAAAAAAAAAAAATAGAGCCTAAAACTAAAACAATCACTTACCTAGATAAACTGTGAGTCATGATATTGTCCTCGAGTGGTGTATTCAATACCAAGTAGTGTTTCACTGTATCGTAAGTGGTTAAATCTGGGAACAGAAAGAAAAAGAAGGCTTAAATGTTTATTTATTCAACAATGAATATCTTTTGAATCTTAAAAGAAGGTGTGGGGTGGAGAGGACACCTTAGAAATAGTTTGGTCTCATTACTGTCACAACTGAATTATTTGTGGAAATCCTTCACACATCACTGTAGAAAGAGTGAAAATGCTCTAGGGAAATTACTCAATTATGATGTGACAACATAAAAGACTGCTGCCAATATATGTTATTAAAAATAATGAGAGTTTTTCATTTTCCCTAATGTGAGTACTTATAATGATTAAGACAATTAAGCTTCTCGGAAATCAATAAAGTTTCCATTACCTCCCATATTCACCAGCGCTGCTCTTTGTATATTGGGTACCCAGCCTGCCCAAAGCCCACGTATTCCTCCTTCAGCTAAGATTTTTGCAAATGCATGATGTACACCACGATATCTAAAGGAAATAATAATGAAATGTAAAAACTATGCATTCCTATGTACGGAATGCAATTGGGTAAGCTTCACCTATAGCTGTTACGATTTTGAGTAAAAATAACATCTTAATTATTAGAAATAATTATCCAGATTGTTAGAAATTATCAAGCAATCCACATAAATCTAATTTCTAGATAAACAATAATCCTTCAGAAAATGGCCAACGTTTAAATATTTTTTATGAAAATCTTTATAAACTGCATCATATTCTTCTCATATTTTTGAACAGATTAAAATTCTTCTTGATACCTTATATCATCAGTGCACAAATTAATTATAGGAGGGAACAGTGGTTATCAGACCTCTGGGTTCATTTTACTTGGTGGGAGACCTGCAAATTTTGTCATTTCACTAAGTAACATTAAAAAAAAATTGATCCTCACATAATCTCATAAAAGATGATATTTTTAGATTAAAAAGTAGGAAGGACAGCTTTATCATGAGAAATTTTAAAACTGAACACTTTTGCCTTTATGAAAATTTACTATCTTATTCTTATTTTGCTCATTTTTCTGTACACAGATTTAAAAAGTGGTGCTGAACCATAAAACAAATGCAGAAACTTCTGATATAAAAGTCTGGATTTTATGTAGTTAGAAATACCTGGAGTCAAATGCTACTTCTACCACTTACTAGTTGTGTGGCTTTTACTCAGGAATTACACTCTGTCAGGAATTACACTCTGTATTACACCCAAAAAGATCATATGACATATTTATTGGTCATGAATAATTGCTATTATGCTACATAGGGAGTTATGCCTATTAATGATGGTCAATGCAGCTAAAATGTCATGCACTTAGTAAACACCAGACTTCTTTAATATAGATAAGATGTATTTTATTTCTGAAAAGTCTATGATGTGTATATTATGATTCCAAATTACATCCGAGGAAACTGAGCCTTAGAGAGGCTAAAGAATTTGATGAGAGTTACAGAGCTAAAATATGGTAAAGATGATTTGAATCCCAGGTTGTCTGATCCCAAGGTTCATGTTCTTTACAATGACAGTCAATGATTTTTACTATAGCAAAACAAAAATTTCTGACATTAGAGACAGAGAGAGGGAAAATACTGAGGCAATAAGTTAAAAATTCAGATATCCCAGAATCCCCAAGGCTCTCCTTATCCAACCAAGGCAACAATACTTCTCTCTGCTATTTAGTAATTAGACATTGTTACAAAATGACAAAATAGGCCCTAGGATTCTGTTGAATACTTGGTTAATTCAGTTTGGTTCCCTTTTAAAAAAAAATCTTTTCCCGTTTGAAAGGCTTAAGGGAAGCCTGGACTGCTGCAGCCCAACCTCATTTACTGAGTCAGGTAGAGGAGTAGCAGAGTGAAGAGCAGTGGTCAATGGTGAACTCCCAAAAGAGGATCTAAACCCTCCTCCATCTCTGGCTCAGCCGCAGACCTGCAGTCTTCAGAGGATTAGACCCTACATACTCAGCACAATGCATCCTGTACTTTTACTCCTGGGAGGAGTCTATCTGTCTTCGCAATTGTACTCCTTTCCCGCCGTAAATGACTAAGTAGTATTCTTAAAAGTTGTTGCTCATGAAGCCCTTTGAAGGAAGGCAGACTTTGATAATATATGCCAATACAGAGGAGTTTTTAATATCACAAAGGCATAATTTTAAAACTTACTTAAACTTGGGAAAACAGGAGAAGCGGGAATAGAGAGGGAAGTGGGAACAATTTGCAAGATGAACCTTGCTATTTCCCTTCTCCTGGAGAGAAAGGAAAAGAAACCAAGCTTTTGGGTACCTTATGAGCCAGGCAGTCTATCTTGCAAAACTTTTGAGATGTCCTCTTCTAAAGACAAAGAAACAGAGACTAGAAATGTTTAGTGACTTCCACAACACCAAGGCACAATGGCAAAACTGAAATTCACACCAAGGAAAATTTCAATGATCAAACTCTATATCAAGCAGCCTTGGCTGGGAAAAGGAGCACACACATAATCTGATAAAGAACATGCATACCATATCACAGAGAAAAGATCCATCTTAGCTCTCGTCTTAATGAATATAACTTTCAAATTAAAAGAGTTAGAATTAATGTCTTTACCAAATGCTGAATTACAAAAATGCATACATCCATTAGGTAAATGTTCAAAATATGATGGTGGCAAAGGGGAATGGAAAAGTATCAGTTGATGGGAGAACTTACCGCAATGGTTTTCCTTCGAGTTTCCGTTTTCCTTCCATTTGCATCTGGACCTTCACTAGGTCAGTTGGGTTGGCTAAAAATTGGCCAACCACACCAGCCATCATCCCTCCAATCACTGATTTCCTAATTATAAAAGCAGATACATTTTTAAAGGCTATCATTAATGTCACAAATTTTGTAGTGAATAATACCAAGTTGGTACAGCCCATGTATGAGATTTAAGACAAAGTAAGGAAGAGACCCAAATAAATCACAGAGGAAAATAGATGGTTCGTTTGTTTAGAGATGGAAAGGTTAAAGGACCCTAAGCAGTTGAAATTCAAATCTGAAATTTCAGAGGCCTTACATGGCCTGAAAGGCAAAGGAAGGGCAGTTACTTCAGAGATATAAACATCTGAACTAAAATTTAATTGCAGTTAAATTCTGACCACAGAATAAAAGCAGCATAGAAGTAATTGGTCTAGCAGACAAAGGCTGGTAAGTCGAATTTTACAAATTACTATATTGGGCAGGGAGTGAGGGGTAAAAACTTTCCTCTCTTTGAAGAAACT